TCCACTCAGTTCTGCTGTTTTATCTGGGATTGCTTCAGCTGCTGCTGGGAAAGCTGCTCCCTGCAACAGGAGTTTCATTAACAGCATCACATCAGCTGCTCCCCGGCCGTGCCTGCAGAAACACTGCACGTTAAATATCGCTTCCGTGGGAGCCAGAGAAACCAGGCTGCCCTTGGCTGCTGGTGTCAGACTAGGGAAGAATAAAAAAGAGTAAAGTTTAACAATTTCAAGGTAAAATGTGCTGTCTAGCTGCAGAAAGAGGGGAGATTATCTTATTTTATACATTTTCTGGAAAAGGAAAAGGTAGAGGCTACAAAGCCAGGGGGCTTTGGCCCATTTTTCCAAGGAAAGGAGAGTCTGGGCAATCACACTGCTCCTGCCAGTCCTTCCCAAATACCTTCTAGGTCCACCTACACATGAGTTTGTGTTTATATCTATATATCTCTATATATGTGCATTTTTTACGTACTAATATGGTTTCATACTTTATATATATAGTATATATGTATACTATATATATACTATATTTTATTACAAATATACTATATTTTATTATAAATATATGTACAGAGATACCTTCTCCTCCCATGCTAGCCTGGCACAATAGCAGAAGGAGCGTTAAGGAGAGTCCATCACTTTGAATTTAACTGGCACAAATTTGGGTTTTCCTTAACAGCCAAGTAGGATTTCAGCACACAGAAATATCCATCAGCTTCTCTGGGCAACCTCACCATCCTCACAGGGAAGAATCTCTGCTTAATATGTCATCTAAACACCCCCCTGTCAGCGTGAAGTCATTCCTCCTTAACCTGTCACTCCATACCCTAATCCAAAGCCCCTCTCCAGCTCTCTTTAGGAGGATGTTGGGATAGGATCATGACTTTCTCCATCAGTGGAAGGTTTCAGATCACCTGGTTGGTGGTGCTGTGCCAGTGCTGGTGCCCCCCTGCCCTCCCAGAGATGCTGGAGGAACTCAATCCAGAGCTGCAAACCCGATTTAAAATCACCTTCTGCAAAAGGGCTGAGTGACCTACTAAGACATATTGAACTGGAGGGTGTAGGTGCTGTTTTCCAGCCAAAGGGAAACAAGAGTAAAAGGAGATTAATTAGTGCCTGCCTGGAGCCTGTGGGCTCTGTGAAAGCAGACATTCTGTGCCACAACCAGGCCTTTTCATCTCAATAAGCTCTTACACTTGGACTGTAATTATGTACATATTACTGTCAGTGCTTTTAACTCTTTCCCTGATAATTAGACTTATATCAAATCAGGGGTTTAAGCTCCCAGATCCATGGGGATGTTTGGGTGCCTGGAGCTTCTGCTTCTCTTTCCTTTATTCTCTGATTAATAGTTCAATAGGGATGATGTTGAGATTACTGCCAAGGCTGGGGAGGTCACTGCTGGGGGCAACTGTGGTTAATTTTGTAGTCCCAAGGACATGTAGTGATGGGAATGGTTTGGGGATGATGGGAATGGAAGGGGGAATGGTTTTAAACTGGAAGAGAGTAGGTTTGGTTTGGATATTAGCAAGAAATTCTTCCCTGTGAGGGTGGGAGGCCCTGGCACAGCGTGCCCAGAGAAGCTGTGGCTGCCCCTGGATCCCTGGAAGCGTCCAAGGCCAGGTTGGATGGGGCTTGGAGCAACCTGGGATAGAGGAAGGTGTCCCTGCCCACGGCAGGGGGTGGAATGAAACAATCTTTAAGGCCCTTTCCAACCCACACCACTCCATGGTTCTATCATCACTCTTGATGTGAGATAATGGCACGGAAAAGGCATTTTTGTTAACAACCACAGAAGTGCCGGTGAGTGGGGTCTCCACCAGCAGGTTTGGAGGAGCCTGGGAGGAGCCTGTGCCACCACAGGATGTGGGTGATGCTGAAAGGTGACAGGGAAGCAGCTCTGAGCTGAGCAGGGTCCTTCCCCTGCAATTTGCAGACACAGATGGCTGTTAGTGTTCATCACCAGCTCCCCAGACGCCTCACAGCCCTTTCATATCCACCTCCTCAGATGCCTCCCAGTCCCTCAGCATCCCTTTCATCTGGTGGAACTGGGTTTGTCACTCATCATATTCTGCTCTAATCAGGAACAGCCTTTTTTTTTTGCCCCTCTTTTTACTTGACTGGCAAAGCCAGCATAAATAATTCAGGCTCAAACACAAGTGCCTTATCTACTGGGAAGCCAGTAACAGATGTTTTGGGTTGTTTACAGAGGAATTTGGGGCTCCCATAGCACAACCCTACAGCTACAGGCTGCACTGTGTGCTCTGCCTGTCCCTTCATGCTTGGGGTGAGTCACCACTCCTTACCTGGAATTAAGGTGCAGAGCTCAGCTGTTTCCACCCAGGGCAAGGCTTAGTCCCTAAAATAATTTCCTTAACTCCCTAAATTCAAGCCAAGTGGGGGTAAGCACTTTTAACTTTATCACGCTGCATAGACTTAGAAGATGATTAAACAGGAAGATCTATGAAAAAAGAACATTGGTTTTGTGCCTCTAGGGGGGAAAAAATAGCAAAATGATACAGGAGAAAAAATCCACCATGAAGAAGAGTTATTAAAAACAATCATGTGAAGCTCTGCCTGATGAGAGATGAGCTGCTAAGGAATACATGTATGGCAAATAGCACTGTTTCCTGGAGGAGAATGAGGGGAAAAAACAAAGGTATTGAAGTGTTTGAGCCTTTTCCCGGTGTAAAATAAGTTTCATGGTCTAAAAATCACATAATCATCCAGCTATAATTACAACACCACAGGTCTGCTCTGGGTGTTGGCAGAAGAAATGGGAGCTGGGACATAAAAGGCTCTTGGCCTTTTGGTGGCTAAATTAAAAAGAAATTGGTTTTGGTGAATCAGGCAAGCCCAAAATATTGTGATTTGGAACAAAAAAATCTATCACCTTTGAATGAGCTAAATGGTCACATTTTTGTATCAGTCTCATTCCTCTGCCCTCGGTGGATTCACTTTGGGACCATCCAGGAAAACTGCACCTTTTATCAATGTTAAGTTTGTAAATGTAATGTTTTCTAAAGGAAAACATCCGAATTCGTGGAAATTGCAAAACAGGAGGGTGCCTTTTGGTGGCCAAGAGCCATTTGGCAGCCTGTCCAACGAGGGCAAAGATGACGTGCTCTCCCGTTAGCCTGGTGAGGGCTCCTGGGCATTGCAACGCTGCGAATAAAATCGGGGAATAAGTCTTTGAACACCAGTTTAGCGCCCCAGCAGGGGGTTTATTAGGACGGGGAGAACTGGAGGGCGGTGTCCACATTGGATATGACGGTGTTCTTGCCAAGGCATTTCACAGAATGACAGGATCATTGGACAAGGCCTCTGAGATCATCAAGCCCAACCCGGTAACCATTTGCTGGAGCAGACACATAATTTAGGATTTCATTATGTTCCTGTTCCGATCAAAGCCCGCAGAGCGGCCGGAGCAGGTTGAGCTCCAGGCTGCCCACCAAGAGGAGCTTTCCCCCGCTCCTCCCCTCCGAATTCCGCGGCAGGAGGCGGCGGGATGGGCTCTCAGCTGCGCGCTCTCTTTGCAGAGGTGCCGACGGAGAAGCTGGCGTCCATGGCATCGCTGCGGAGCCTCAACCTGCGGGACAACCCCGTGGGCCCCGAGGTGCGGCTGCTGGTCCGGCCCCTCGTCCCCTTCGACCTGCTGCTGTCACCAGAGGAGCCCGGCCCCGAAGCCTGACAGGGTCTCAGGGTGCCGGGCGAGCTGTCCCGAGGGGTGACTGCCCACGAGAGTGGTTTGGCTTAGGTCAGTCCCCTGCTACGCCCCTATTCCTGTCCCAAACCCGCGGCGAGCCAGCCAGTCCCTCGGTTTTCCTTAACTAAAAGCAAGCAGCGGGGCTCCTCCCTGAAGGGATGGCTCTGCCAGCTCCGGAGCCGGGGAATCTCCTGCTTGTGCGTTTGGGGGATGCAGAGGAGCTGCAGTGCATGTGGTGTGAGGTTTGGGTAAAGCCAGGGGGGAGTTGGATGTTCGGCTACATCTTTCCTGCCCGGGCGGTGATGGGGAGCAGCCGGGATGGTGGGGGACACCCCTGGGGCCGTAAGGGTTCCCCCTGGAATTGCCCGCATCTCGGTGTGCCAAGTGCCTGATTAAACGCTTTCCTGTTACACCGGGGGGGTTGTGTCTGTTTACATTTGAATCATCAGTCTTCCCCTCAAAGAAGCCCCTTTGCACATCTTTTTTTTTTTTTTTCACCATGGAACTCGAAGCAAACCAGTCCCCAGGTGTGCGCAGTCACCTCCTGGGTGCTGTGGGTCCCCAAGAAGTGCTGTTTTCTCTCCCAGGAAAAAATGTACTGGAGTGAGCGGCTCCTCGGTGGCAGGGAGGCCACTGCCAAGCACACCCGTGCCACAGTAGCTGCCTGCAAAAAAAGAAAAACACAAACTCCTGGGAGAAACCACAGGTGTTATCTCAAAATGGTTTGTTTAAACATCTCCCTGTCCTGCTCCTTTGGGTTTTTTTTTTTTAAGGGACAAACACTTCCCAGTGGAGTGTGTCCAGCCAGGACTGGTTAATCCTGTAAATATTTGACGTCTAGACTTGCCAAACTTTGGTCAAAAACCATGGTAAGAGACGGATTGTTGAGGTTGGGGATGATGGAGCATCTTGGAGTCAGGACCATCATCCCTAAAGATCGTGTTGCTTCTCCCGACTGCGTGGGGTGATGGAGGGGTGTCCTCCCCACCCGCACTGTGGCTCCTGGCATGTTTTCCGCCCCGGTGCTTCTGGGGACACGGAACATCAGCTGCCAGCATCAGTGTGGGGACCTCGGAGGCAGCGAGGGGGACGCAGACCCCGAACCTTCCCGGGGCAGCGAACCTGCTCCCTCTCTCTCCTGGCCGCCGTGGGCCGCCCGCCCCCGCGCTGGCTCATCCGTGGGGGGCTGCGTGCGGGTCCCCCGGTGGTATCCATGGCGATGGGAGGCTGTCCCCCCGCCGCCCCCTCCCCTTCTCGGCTGCAGCCCGAGCAGCCGCAAGCGGCGCGGCGGCTCCGCGGCAGCGGCACCGGGGCTCGGGACCGGGTGCGGGGAACCGGGGGAGGGACCGGGGCAAAACTGCCCCCCACCCCCGGCGGCAGCCCCCGCGTGGCAGCGATGCAGCCCCCGGAGCCGGGTCGGGCCGGCGGAGGTGAGTACCAAAACCCGGGTTGTTTTATCTTATCCCCCCGCAAAAGCCGCCCGCCCCGTCCCCAGCCCCCTATTCCATCAACCTAGTCTTTCCCTGCGGTGGTTTCCCACAGCCGGGTAGGGAGGCAGGCGGTCCCTCGACCACAGTTCGGTCCCCCCATCCCTTTATCACCGCGTCCGAGATGTCAGCACTGAATGAAGGATGCCTGCATCCATCCATCCATCCACCCACCCATTCATCCATCCACCCACCCATTCATCCAGCACCAACCCCGGGTGCTCAGCCACCCTTTATTTTCCTTTCCCCATCTTCCACCTCGCTCTTAAAACCGCCTCTAATTCCATAGGACACCCACCTCACGCCAATGCTGCACTGCAGCCCAAAAAAAGGTTAAGTCCAGCAAAGTTTTGGGGTTAATATCGCACATTTTGGGCAATCTCGTTCCAGTCTTTGCTATCGCTCCTGGTTCATGTGGGTGCATCTGATGCCGACTGGCTGGAGAATCTTGCCCCCAGTCCCGCTGCTTTCTTGCCTCTCCCAGAGGCTCCTTTCCCTGTGTCCCTCAGCTGCAAACCCGTCCAGCACCTTTCTAAAGCCCCGCTGGAAACGTGTTGCCCAAATCCTGCACCCCGGGCAGGGTCATAGGGGCTGGAGGGGACCTTCCTGCGGGCAGGAACCCTGGGGAACCCGGCAGTCCCGGTGGCTGGGAAAGGCACCTCGGCTGGCGAGCTGAGCACCGGCATCTGCACGGGGATGGGGGGATGCTCCAGCTGCCCATCACGCAGCGGCTTTGAGGGGCTTTCTCAGAGCAGGGCTGACCTGCAGGCAGCTAGGCTGAGCCTTAGAGCTAAAATGTGCTTTTTTTCTTGCCTTAAAATTGCAGGCTGGGTTTTCCCGGAGCCAGTCTCGTCACCACTGCAGGCAGCTGGTGCTCCCGGCATCCTCCCGCGTCCCCCTGCCTGCCTAAGGCTGGGGAAACCCGAGGGTGGGAGCTGCCCAGACCCGCTGGCTGTTAAATCCGTAGTGACAAAATTCCATCCCCCACTCCGTCAGAAGCTCCCAGTTAATGATCACAGTCATATTGTTATTGCTTTATACGTTAAACAGAGGGCAAGGTCTCCTCTGCCCCAGTCCCTCTCCCTCAGGTACTGCAGGCTTGCCAGGGAGAATGCGATTTTTGGGAATCTCAAACTGTAAACCTCGGAAGCACAATGAGAAGCAGCAGCAGCAGCCACCCGGGGGTAGGGATGCTCCCAGGCCAGCTGTGATGGGGACCACATGGATACAGCTTCCCATAAGGCCAGAGCACTGAAATGTCAAGATGTGGATTTATTTCCTTGCTTTATCCCTGAAAAAAAAAAAGCCCATGTGATCAGGATGCGTTCTGGGCTGTTCTAATAATGAGGAATTAGAGTTATATAAATAAGAATGATTAAAAAACTAGTGATGTAAAATAATGATTCAGCTGATGTGCTGCAACCCAAGGAGGTTCAGCTGCAACCCAAGGAGGAGGAGACTTTGCTGGGGCACTGAGATGATCCCAGCAGGACATGCCCCAGCCAGTCTGGGTACTGGAATAAACATGAAACCCCACCTCTGAGGGCATTAAGAAAGGAAGGGAATAATTGCTTTACCCTCTCCCAGCTTCATTTTCCTGCCTTCCCTCCCCAGGCCCTTCCAGTGGCACCTGGTGGCCAAATGGCACTGCAAGCTACAGCCACCTCCCGAGGGAGAACTACACCTTCCTGGCCTACTACCAGCATTCCTCCCCCGTGGCCCTCATGTTCATCCTGGCCTACACCTTCATCTTCCTCATGTGCGTGGTCGGCAACGTCCTGGTGTGCTTCGTGGTGGTGAAGAACCGCCAGATGAGGACGGTCACCAACATGTTCCTCCTCAACCTGGCCATCAGCGACCTGCTGGTGGGCATCTTCTGCATGCCCACCACCTTGGTGGACAACCTCATCACAGGTGAGTGGGGCGGCGGATGGGCGAGACACAAGACAGGGAGAGAAGGTGGTGGGGGGAAGGAACATCACCCACGCACCATCTGCCCCCTCACACGCACGAGGTCAAGCCCTGGGTGGTGTTTTTGGTGAGGATGGTGGTGGTAATTCATTGAGGTTTTGACCATTTTGGGCAAAATAACCTTAATGCTGCATTTGAATATTTATTAAAAGTTCAGCCCTTCTTCATCAAGCAACCCTGACAAAAAGCCCTCTTCTTCCTGCATCCATCTTCTTCCACGATGGCTCAGCTGTGCCTGTTGATCTTTCCAAAGATAAGGAGTGACATTTGTCAGAATTCAGCCACAGTGGCAGCTGGGTCACAGGGCAGAGTTTATATTTATTGATTATGGGGTGGGATACGTTTATTGCCTTGGCACTGGGGTCAAGAAACAAGATGAAAGTCCTTCTTATCGAGGATCCCGAGGTAGGAACCTGTGACAACAGCTCAAGCCCTAGATAAGGATAGGAGAAATGGCAGCCACCATCTTCCTTGAGTTTCTAAGAGTGTAATATGCATCTTTTTTTTACCAATTCTGGTTTTTTTCTCCAAGCATCTGTGCTGTTAGGAGAATGTCCATATGAGCTCCCCTTTAGGAGCAGGGTTTAGCATCCCCCAGCAACAACACAGTGGATGGGGACATCTGAAAGCACCTGGCCAAGCCCAAAGCACCTACAGCCTTCACGGTGTCCCCTCACAGGCTGGCCCTTTGACAACACCATGTGCAAAATGAGTGGCCTGGTGCAGGGCATGTCCGTCTCCGCCTCCGTGTTCACACTGGTGGCCATCGCCGTGGAGAGGTACGTTGGCATGGGAATGTGGGAATGTGGGGACCAACTGCCTCCAGCAGGGTCAGGTGTCCTGTGTGGTTTCCATCACGGGAAAGCTCCTGGGGATGCCAGGAGTGTGTCCCAGCTCTCCGTGAGGACCACTAAGCTGTCCATGGGGCATTCCAGCAAGCTGTCCTTCCCCACCGTGGAAACACCAAAGCTGGAGACACCTCAACCTACCCCCAGCACCAAAAAGGGTCATGTAAAGAGCCTCACCCTCCCTTTACACCCCCGGGTCCCAGTCGCCCTCCTTCCCCAGGGATATCCCAGCAGCTGCCCAAAGCCACTGCCATCTGCCCTCCCACAGATTTCGCTGCATCGTCCACCCGTTCCGGCAGAAGCTGACGCTGAGGAAAGCCCTGCTGACCATCGCCATCATCTGGGTGCTGGCCCTGCTCATCATGTGCCCCGCTGCCATCACCCTGACCGTCACCAGGGAGGAGCACCACTTCATGGTGGATACCTACAACAATTCCTACCCTCTCTACTCCTGCTGGGAGGCCTGGCCCGAGACGGGGATGCGGAGGATCTACACGGCCGTCCTCTTCTCCCACATCTACGTGGCCCCGCTCGCCCTCATCGTCGTCATGTACGCCCGCATCGCCTTCAAGCTCTTCAAGTCGGTGGCGCCAGCCCGTGGCCAGGAGGAGCCGGAGGGGAGGAGGATCTCCCGCAGGAAGGCCAAGGTCATCAACATGCTCATCATTGTCGCCCTCTTCTTCACCGTCTCCTGGCTGCCCCTCTGGACGCTGATGCTGCTGATCGACTACGGGCGGCTGAGCGAGGGCCAGCTCCGCCTGGTCACTGTCTACGTGTACCCCTTCGCCCACTGGCTGGCCTTCTTCAACAGCAGTGCCAACCCCATCATCTACGGCTACTTCAACGAGAACTTCCGACGGGGCTTCCAGGAGGTCTTCCGGAGCCCCCTCTGCTCGCTCGGGTGCCGCCGCTGCGGGCCCTGCACCCCCCGGAGCCACGGCCGCGGGACCTTCCTGGGCGCCCGCAACCGCATCTTCACGCGGGCCCCGACCAGCGACTCGCCCCCCGCCTCCGAGTCGGGCCCGCTGGCCCCACGCCGCGCCAGGGCCCCCGCCTGGGACGGCTGAGCGGCCTCCGGACCGCGGGCTCGCGGGATGGGGAGAAGGGATTTGGCCCCTCAGGTCACCGAAATAAAGGCACGTCCCACCGATGCCATGTCCCTGCCTTGGCTCCTCCGCTGTCCCCCCGAGGGCACCACCTGAGGCCCCCGGTACCCTGTGCTCTGTCAGCACCCCCTTCACGCAGCTCCAGTCCAGCCATGGGGCCATGGAGTGGCTCCAGGCAGGGAGCAGGGAGCAGGGAGGGAGAACGGGCCATCCTGTGCCGTGCTTGGAGGACCGTGCAGGCCTTTCTTTGGTGGCCCACGCCAGGCTGTGCTGGCCCAAGCCGTGCCATCATGGCCATGCTGCTCCACGCCGTACCACAGCGTTGTGGCTGTCCCAGTCCGGACCAAGCCACGACGGGCTGGCTGGACCAGGCCGTGTTGTGGTGGATCAAGCCATGCCGTGCTGGATCCTACCCTGCTACCACGGCCGTGCCAGACCGTGCCAAAGCACGCTGCTGCGGCCGTGGTGGACCTGATCTCTTGCGGCCACGCTGGACTGTGCCACCCCACGCTGCCGTGGCCGCGCTAGCCCAACCCACGCTGTTACGGCCGTGCCGGGCATGGCAGGACCACGCTGTGCCATGCCCGTCCACGCTGTTATAAGTTAGTATAAGAATTTAGACAACTCAACTCCAATTAAACATTGATAAATTTATTAAGCAAGCGATAATAAAGCAGAACAGCGCTGGGTGGCCTGGAGGGCAGTGCCCTGCCGAGGCACACACCGAAATGAAGTCAGTGTCTCTTTTTACACACGTTCGTGGTTCTTAAGTACATGTTAAGTGGTGTCTGGCATTGGCTTTTCGGATGTAAATTTGTTTGTGGCTTGAGTTCGGTGGCTGGGTAAGTGGTAGTCCGGTATTTGTCAGAGATGAAAAGGTGCAGTTCTTATCAGTTGTTTATTGACACTTGCTTGATTAGCAAGCTGTCTGTGAAACTCCTCTTGTTTAATTACAACGAAAACTTTCTGACCCCCTCATACACATAAGACTTTACGAACAAAGTTAACCCTTCTGTTACACACGCTATCCCCACCTCTCGCGGCCACACGCCAGACCGCGCACCACCGCAACGCTGTGGCCGTGCCGGGCAGGGCCAAGCCACGTCGTGCCGGACCGTGCCACCCCGCGCTGGTACGGCCGTTCCATGCTATGCCATGCCATGCTATCCCTCTCCCATTCCACCCCATCCCATCCCACCCCATCCCGTTCCCGCCGCGTGGCGCGGGGCGGTCCCGGCCGCGCGGCGGCGCCTGCGCAGTGCGCGGCGCGGGGTGTGGCGCAGGCGCGGAGCGGCCGCAGCGATGTCGGGGTTCAGCGTGGAGGAGCGCGCCGCGCCCCACAGCGCCGAGTACCGGCTCTTCTTCAGTGAGTGCCGCCCGCCGCGCCCCGGGACAGCCTGCCGGGCCCCGGGACAGCCTGCCGGGCACCCCTCGGCCTCGCCCGCATCCCTCCCCTGCGCGCCCGCTGGGTCCTGCCCGCGCGTCGCTCAGCATCTCACTCGCCTTTCCACCCCCACCTCCCCGCTTCTCCCTTTGCCTTGCAGAGGATGCCGCCGGGCGGTACATCTCCCCCTTCCACGATATACCCATCTACGCGGACGCCGGGAAGGTAAGAGGGGCGTCCCGAAACGCCCAGGGCATCAAGGGGGTCCTGAAATACCCAGGGATCAGGGGGTCCTGAAAAACTATGGGGTTGGAGGTCCTAAAGAACCCAGGAGATCAGGGGGTCCTGGAACACCCAGGGGGTCCTGAAAAACTACCCAGGGAGGCCTGAAACACCCAGTGGATCAGCGGGTCCTGAAATACCCAGGGATCAGCGGGTCCTGAAACATCCAGGGATCAGGGTCCTGAAAAACTCAGGGATCGGGGTCCTGAAAAATCAAGGAGATCAGGGGGTCCTGAAATACCCAGGGGGTCCTGAAACATCCAAGGAGTCCTGAAACATCCAGGGAACAGGGGAACCTGAAAAACCCAGGAGATCAGGGGATGCTAGAACACCCAGGGGGTCCTGAAATACCCAGGGTATCCTGAAACACCCAGGGAACGGGGGTCTGAAGTATCCAGGGGATGCTGAAACACCCAGGGATCAGTGGGTACCGAAGCACCCAGGGGGTCCTGAAACATCCAGGGGATCCTGAAACACCCAGGGATCAGGGGTGGAACACCCGGGGGAGGGTCCCAGCTCCCCACACCACAGGAGCACCTAAGGGAGACATCGCCTGACTGTGCAGGGAGTGGGTTTCTTGCTGCCCTGGCCTCGGGTGGAGCGACCCAGGAGAAGAGAATGGATGATCTCATTCTCGTTTTTGCATCTGAGACGTGAGTGGTTGGCTTGAGCTTACCCATAAAGGGGTTTGGGTTAAAAAAGGCGTTTTTCTGTTCAGCTGTAATATCTACGTCCATTCCTGTGGGTGCTGCATATTTCAGGCGTGGGGTTTGACTGCAGTGCAGCCACTTTTTGCCTGCAGTATAATCCAACACTGAACAGAGGGTAAGGACGTTGGATTCCTGCTTTAGCATCTCCTGGGACCTCGTGCCTCTCAGAGCCTGCCCCGTGCAGTGCTGCAGGGCTTTCACGTCCCTCCAGCAGCCAGCTGCGAGTCAAATTAGGCTGCTCTGAACCAAAAAAGCCCCAGCTCCAGGAAGCCAAAATGGTTGTGATTCATTTTTCACTGAATGCGTATTCACTGGTACCTTGAGCTCTCTGACTGTGTTCCTTGCTGTTGTAGCTCGTCTCTTCTTCTAATATGTATTAAAAAGCTGTGCAGCTTGAGAAATGCAGTGGATGAGCTAATAATGTTCGTTAGACAGAGGTGTAATTCGGAAGCGTGGAGTGGTTCTGGGAAAGGAAAGGAATATTCAGAGCTGAGAGATGAACCTCTTAAAAAAAATAGCAGCCGATTGAGCTACTTGAGGTGGAGGTGATGGAGCTACCTGAGGTGCCCTGGGAAGTCTGAGGTGGCTTTTGGCTGCTCAGAAGGGAATGATGATGGCCTGTGGTCATCGAGGACAGAGGTGAAGCAGTTCCTGTGGCCGAGTGGGGAAGCGGTTTTCGGTGCAGGTGTCTGGAAGGTAACTCAGACGAGGCAAATCCGGATAATCCCATGCTTTGCGGGTGCTTGCAGAGCAGGGGAGCGAGCACGGGGATGGGGAGGATTTCCGTGGGCTGGTAATGCTTAACAGGGGAAACCGAGCTACTGGTGTTCCCTGAGGAGCACGGGGCTGCTGCCAGCACCTCTGTGCCAAGTCATTCAGAGAAAACAGTCCCAGGCGCTGAAGGTCGCAGTCCCCCAAGTTGCACAATGGTGCTGATCGCATCAGGCCTCCCTCTGTGGCTCTGAGGTTTGACTCATTGCTGAGCAGGTGGGTTGCCAGCTCTGTTGTGGAGCCCAGCTGGGAGCAAAAGGTTGTCTCGCTCTGTCTGGGCTCCTTGATCTTTATCCTCGGACTCCTAAGACGCTGAGAGGATTGCAGGGTGTTTTTTCCGGTCTGGGGCTGGGGTGTGCTGGTCTTATCTGTACCTGCATGCCTTGGAACGACCTTGGGCTGCTCACTGAGTGTCTCAGGCCAAGGCAGCTGTGTCGGTTGGAACTCCAGGCCTTACAAAGATGCAGCTCCATGTCACCTTTCCCTACCTGCAGAGCCTTTCCACGTCACCTTTCCCACCCTGCCCAGCCTGATCCGACTGCCTTGTCCCTTTCCTCGAGTTAGGAGTAAAAATAGGGTGTACCTTCCTTGCGAAGTGCAGATGAGCTGTGACCCCTGCAATTAAGGGGGTGTAATAAACCTCTGCTAGGGGCAGGGTGTGGGCAGAGTCAGTGATGTAGCAGTGCTTGTTGCACAATATCGGTCTAATTATGGCGCAACGCAGGTTCGAGGGACTTTGCCGTGCTAATGCGGCTTAAGGTGGGGATTAGAAACCTTTGTCCAGGTTAGGGAGGAGCAAGGTTTGACTTTTTGTTAAAAAGCCATAATCTCTTCAAAACAGCAGATGTTAAGGTTCAGGTGTGGAAAGGCTTTTCTGGAAGAGGAGGCTGACCCTGAGCTCTCAAGAGGCCTCTCAGCCCAGCGGGATCAACAAGGAGGTGTTTTCAAGCGTCACCTGTAAACCAAATCCTGCAAGAAGATGTGGTTCTGCATTTCTCCTCCCACACATTTATGCTCACACCATGCCACTAACGAGGTCTTCTTTTATAGGAGTGTCAGCTTGGAGAGAGGGCATCCTTCCCTACATCATGACAGATATTTGGGAGCGATGTCCTCGGTCATTCGGGGCAGTACATAGATCCCCACATTATTAAGTAGGTGGCTTGTTCCTGTCAGTCTTATCTTTTCTAGACGGCCAGAGCGACCCTTGCTGGAACGTGAAGCACTTTGTACTTAATAAATATGCCCCAAACCTCATTTTGTTGTGTCTACGATAGTTTGTATGCAGCTGTCTTCAGTTTATTTAACCTGCTGTTCTGTAACCTAGGAATGTGATGGGAATGTTTGTAGGTGGCAGCTGATGGAGAATGTGTGGGTAACCTGGAGAATGTGTGGGTAACCTCAGTCTGGCCTTTGCTGGGGTCTTTTCTGGGATTCAGCTTTGAGTGATAATGTTTGAGATAATGTTACTGGGAAAAAAAAAACAAAACAACAACACAGGAAAAGACTTAGGGTTTCGTGGCACCTGGCTGGTATGTGTTTCCTAATTTAAAGTGTGGTCTTCCTTCCCACTCATTGGTGTTTTGCTTTCTTCAGAATGTGTTCAACATGGTTGTGGAAGTACCTCGATGGACAAATGCTAAAATGGAGGTAACTACGTTACAGTTCCTAGCAAAGGGGCTTGAGCTGACTAAGTCTTAACCTTTGGCTTTGCTGATTCTCTCCTTCTCAATCCCACCTCCAGAATCAGAGTGGTTTGTAACTTCTCCTGTTCAGTACTTGCTCAATGCTAGAGGTTTGGTGTGGAGGCTGAGATTGCAGAAGTTTGCCTGGGTATTCTTCT